GCACCCCGCTTTTAAGAGGTACAGTAACCCTCAGATAACTTCGTACAAGTCCAACGGTGCGGGGCCTTTGGGGTCCGGCGTCGTGTCGGTCCGACTCCAACGTCCGGGCAGAATACGGGAGAATTCTCCCGCTGATGTCGCTCTGGGGATAGGAATGAGACTTAGGTACCCCTCCCCTGAATAATAGTCCTCAACTTCACCTATTTCAGAGATCGGGAGACAGTTCTTACGCGACGCCGTGTGCCACCATAACCAACATTCACGTCTCCAGCGCGACCTTCCCACACCCGACCTGGTACAGGCGAGCGAGATCAGGACTCTCCAATCCGCCTGCCCAAAACACGGAGCTCGCCTCCAGTTCCAACTCTGCATCGATCCGTCCAGGCAGGCCCCTTTCGACCTCTCCAAGGACGTACACGCCCACCCATTGAACTACCAGGAATCCTATCGTCCGACCCCTCGCCGGGTTTCCTGGAAAAGCATAACCTCCCGTGGAACGTGGTCACGGCGGTGGAAACTGCGTTCCCGCCACTCTTCCCCGGCGGCCCGCGAAGGCCCTACCAATAGCCGTCATGGCAGAATACGACGCTTGCCAGAGATTGGCCACGTTGTCGGGCCACATCTCACCTTGCCATGGCCGCCATGGGCGCTGCCCTCGGGTTGCAGGCCAACGCCAAAGATTTGCCCGGTCGCGTGGTAATCATCGGAACACCGGCTGAAGAGGGAGGCGGCGGCAAGATACGATTGCTGGAGGCTGGCGTTTTCGACAGCGTGGACGCTACCCTTTCTTCCCATCCATTCTCCAACCGCACCATTATTCCCGCAGCCGCACCCGTGGGGGAGAGCTGGAGTCTGGCAATGGTGGGCTACCGGTACATGTTCCACGGCAAAGCCGCTCACGCTGCCGCCGCGCCGGAGGCCGGCATCAATGCGTTGAACGCGGTCATCCACCTGTTCACCGGCATCGACGCCTTGCGCCAGCACCTGAGAGACGACGTCCGCATTCACGGAGTGATCACCGACGGCGGAATGGCGCCCAACGTCGTGCCCGAATTCGCCGCCGCCAATTTCATGCTGCGGTGCCGGGAACGACGGTACCTGAGCGACGTGGTAGTCGGTAAGGTAAAACAGGTGGCGGAAGGAGCGGCCTCCATGACCGGCGCCCGCCTGGAAGTCCAGGAATTTTATCCCTTCTACGAGAACGTACAGCCCAACGTGGTGCTGGCCCAGGCGGTTCGGGCCAACGCCCAGGCGCTGGGAATCAAACTGGATGAACCGGTAGCCGGCCGGCCGGGCAGCGGCGCATCCACCGATTTCGGCAACGTCAGCCAGGTGATGCCCGCCTTCGAGTTGAGGTATGCGGTCAGCGAGGAGCCCGTGGCCTCCCACACCCGGGAGATGTGTGCGACCGCCGTTACCGATCTGGCCCTCTCCAATGCTCTGTCAGTAGCCAAGGCGCTCAGCCTGACGGCAAGCGACCTGCTCTGTGATGCCCCGTTGGTTGAGGCCGCCAAAGACGAGTTCGCCAGTCGCGGCAGATGAGCGAACCCTGGTCCCTGACGGCTGCATAAAGCCTCAAAAGTTGGCGATGTGGCGGGGCGTACGGAATCGGGGCCGATGTCGCCGCCCCGTGGCGTCAGGCGCACGCGCTCACGCGTACCCGCTTTATTCCGTCATTGCGAGGAGCGCAGCGACGTGGCAATCTCGCTGCCCTCGGCCCCCGTTCATCCTGAGCCTGTCGAAGGATCGTCCTGAGCTTGTCGAAGGATCGTCGACGTGTGTTCAGCCTCATCGAGATTGCCAACCCCCCGCATCGAGTACGGGGTCGCAATGACAAAGTGTGTACGCGTGATGGCGCGCTCGTTGTGTACAATCACCAGGTTCACGCGACGCCCGCCACCGTGTACACGATTTTCCAGCGCCGCGCATTGCGGGTCCGGGCCGGCTCAGTCAGCTGCGACCAACTGGAAGCGATGATGGCCACCAATCCGGAAAGGAAATAAATCACATCAGCACGCAAACGGCGCCAGCACTCGACAGGCAGATCAACAAGGCCTGGTTTTTTGCCGTGCTCGCGCTGGCCGTTTTTTCCGGTTTAAGCGCGGTTTACATTGTTCCGCCTCTCCTGGTGGATATCGCATCCGAAATGGATATCTCGGTGGCGGTTGCCGGTCAGTTGAGTACCGCGACCTTCGCGGCCTGGGCCGTTTCCTTGGTGACCGTGGGCCCGTTGTCCGATTCCTTCGGACGCCGCCCGGTCGCCCTAACTGGTCTGCTGGTGCTTTCCGTGTCTGTCATTGCGTCGGCTTTCGCGCCCAATATCCAGGTGCTGTTGGCCCTCAGGGTGTTGACCGGCCTGGCTGGGGGAACGCTTCCGCCCACCTCCGTCGGGGTAGTATCGATGTAATTTCCCCCGGCCGACGGGCTCAGGCGGTTACCGCCCTGTTGGCCCTCAACGGGCTGGCTTCGGCCATCACCGTCCCAATAGTCGCCGTGTTGGCAGACTGGGGCGGCTGGCGGGTTCCCTTCGTGGTTGTGGGGCTGCTGCTGGCCATAGCGTTGCTGTCGAATTGGGTCTGGTTTCCGCGGGACCGCCAGGGGCGAGTTCGCAGGTGGGTATTCTTCTCCAGATATCGTTCGTTGCTATCCTTACGTTTTTTCCGCGTGGCCATAGCGGTTGGCTTGACACAACGCATAGCTTTCTGGGGGACGATCAGCTTTTTCCCCGCCTACTTGATACACACCTACGGAATCAGCGTAGGATTCGTAGCTCTGCCGTTGGCAATAACCGCCACGGGGCAGGTGATCGGCAGCTATTCCGCAGCATTCGTAGCAAAACGAAGGTACCGCGCCGCCCTCCTCGCTGGTACTTCAGCCGTGGGAGGGGTCTGCGCGTTCCTCTTCTTCTCTTTCGACCTCGATCTCTGGGTATCAGTGGCGGTGGCCACCGTTGGCACGGGATTGCTGAGCGTAGCAATGCCTGCTATGGTCGCGATCAGCACCGAGTATTCGGGAGAATCCAAGTCCTCGGGGGCCAGTATTATGGGCGTCAGCAACCAGTCTGGAGGGGCGCTGGGAGCCGCGATCGCTGGCGCGATGCTGGCGAACGCAGGCTACGGAGGAATAGGCTACATGTGCCTTGGCGCAACGATCGTAAGCGCGCTGTTGACGAGCCTCTTCGGCCGGCAGTTCGGCGAGAGCGCCGGCCAAACCGACGGAACGTAGGGAACGTAAGGTAGCGGGTGAGACGATCCAACAACGCCCCGCTGGACACCTTCCCAATTTCTTCGCGCCGTCCGGGTAGCTTTACGATCCCATCATTCCCCTCACTCGGAGCCATCTGTTTTCCTCAGCCTCCGCGATCCCGTCATCCCGCCTTTCCCGGGGATGCGCCGTCTTATGCTGGAAGACGCCCAGGATTCCCCCGACAGCGCGGAATACAGGATCAGTTTTTGAGAACCCAGAGACCCCGGCTTCGGCGGCCGGTTGATTGACAGGACATACTGCCTGGCGCAAAATGTCCGAAAATTGGGGCGAACAAAGGCCCCGTCCGTTGCTACTTGAACGGGAATGCAACACCTGCGCTCCCGCCCTGGAGGAGGTCCTGATATGGCGTTTCCCGACCGAATGAAGTTTGGTATCTTCCTCGGCCCATTCCACCGTGTTGGCGAAAACCCCACCCTGGCCATCGAACGCGATCTGGAGCTGGTTGAATGGCTGGACAAGCTGGGGTTCGATGAGGCCTGGATTGGTGAGCACCACAGCGCCGGCTGGGAGATTATCTCTTCCCCGGAGGTTTTCATCGCCGCCGCCGCACAGCGCACCAGCCGCATCAAGCTGGGCACCGGCGTCGTCAGCCTGCCATACCACCACCCTCTGATGGTGGCCAACCGTATGGTCCAACTGGACCACATGACCTACGGGCGGGTACTCTTCGGAGTCGGACCGGGCGCCCTCCCCCGGCGACGCATACATGATGGGCATTCCTCACGAGTCACAGCGGGAGCGCATGGACGAATCCTGGGCATCATCCTGCGCCTGTTTACCGAAACCGAGCCTATCACCTACAAGAGCGACTGGTTCGAGCTGAAGGAGGGCCTGCTCCAGCTGCGGCCCTACCAGCGCCCCTACATGCACACTGCCGTGGCCTCGGTGCAGTCTCCGGCCGGAGTAACCCTCGCTGGCAAACACGGCTGTTCGGTCTTGACCATCACCGTGCCCAGAGATCCCTCCGCCGGCCCCTCCGACTTGCAGGGGCTGTGGAACATAGCCGAAGAGTCCGCCGCCGAGCATGGCCAGACCATGAACCGCGATGACTGGCGGCTGGTGCTGCCCTGCCATCTGGCCGAGACACGGGAAGAAGCTCGCAACGATGCCCGCATCGGCGCCGGCCGCTACCTGCGGGATTACAGTGAGGGAACCAACGGCCGCAAGGCGGTTTTCGATGGCCCGCTGGATAAGGTGATCGACCACATGGCCGATAACGGAAGCTGGATTATTGGCACTCCAGACGACTGTATCGAAGCCATCGAGAAGCTGGGCGAGCAGAGCGGCGGCTTCGGCGCTTTCCTGGTCCAGACCATAGACTGGGCGCCTCGGGAGAAGATGCTGCACAGCTATGAACTGATGGCCCGCTACGTCATGCCACACTTCCAGGGCAGTGTCCTCAGCACTACGGCTTCGAATCAGTGGGCCAAGGAGCGGCAGGATGACTTGGTCAGCGGCCGGGTTCGCGCAATCGATCGAGCCAGGCAGGCTTACGCCGAACGCCCCGCATAACGCCGGTCAGCCCCTGAACATCGGGCAATTTACGCATCCTGGCGGCGCTGTTCCGCTTAAAACGGTCCAAATGCCGAAATGGGCAGGGGCAACCCTCGCGGCTGCCCCTGCACCGGCAATAATAGACGCCCGGCGTACGAACACCTGGGCTGTAACGCAACAGGTCGTGTCGCCGGGGAAACCCACCGCTATCCCGGAACGGATCGTTTTCCGACGTGGGAGTACTGCGCCGCAAAAGCGCGTACCCCCGTGTCGCTATCAGCTTACTCCCGAGTTGGGGGCAAGTTGCTTCCCGAATTATCGGTTAGACCGCCACTCCCACCGCAGCCCATTCCACCCCGTTGAGGACTATCTTCTGGAACTCGGGCGTCTCAAAACTCCGGCCATCGTGCCCCAGTAGCAGAACGAAGACGTTGCCGTCGCCGTACCGGCGGGTCCATCCCAGGGGATAGGTGCCGCCGGGCATAAACTGGGGGTTCCGGTCTGGGCCCCAGGGATACGTCCCGTCTTCGGCTACGCCCGTGATGAAAACGTCGTTCCCGTCTTTTATCGCCAGTCCCATGTACAACTCGTCGTTGGTGGAAAAGTCCGCAATGCCATCGACCCCGGGGTGGCCCGGCATCGCTAATATTGACCGTGAACTGCCCGTAAGGGGGATGGAAGCTGGTGCCGGAAATCCAGCCGCCGCCTGTGATGTCGTGGTACTCGGGCCACGCTGCGGACAGGCAGTTGGAAATATGAATGCACACGAATCCCTTGCCGCCGCTCACGAAGTCCCGCAGGCCCTCCTGTTGCGGCGTGGACAGCGTCCAGTCGCCAAAGTCCGGAACGTTCTCCCGACGGGTGTTGAAAACCAACACGTCGTATCCGCTCATTGCCGAGCTGTCGGCCAGTGCCGAAGCATCCTCGGTCACCGTGACCTCGTGACCCGCTCCGGTGAGAAAAGACTCTAAAATTGGCGTCGATTCCTCGTAAGGATGACGACCGCCGGACACTACCAAAAGCCTCATAATTTATTACCTCCAACCTGGTGCCCAACATTGTAGATTCCCCGGCCGCCGGTGGCAAATCCCCACAACGCGCGTAACAGTTCAGACTCGACGGGTTGTTTCCATATCACTCCGTCATTCCGGCCTTGAGCCGGAATCCAGAGAAGTCTTTAAACCGCAATGTTGCTTATCCTGGGCTTCCTGGATTCCCGCGTTCGCGGGAAAGACAGTTTGGGGCAGGATACTATCTTCAACTCTGAACAGTTACCAACGCGCCGCTGACGTTCCGTTGCCCGTGATCTTCTCTTGGGAATGTGCCTGGGAACCCAATTTCGGGAAACGCCAACTCGATAATCATCCCCAGGGATTGAATCTCCGCCTGATCCGGTGGAAACCTGCATATCAACTCACAACATTCCGCCTATGGGCGCTCCAGGCATCCGCGACCGCTGCATATCTCTCTGCCGTGGGTCGCGCCGTAACCCACGTCGCCGTAGCGAATTCGTCCGGTTGTATGGCACTGATGCGGTCACAAATCACTGGCAATAAAGCTGGCCGGCCTGGTAAGGAGCGTCAGGATTAGTGGGCGGCGCTGCCTCCCAGACCAGGATTGCCCACCGTACGGTCGCGGACCATGAGAACCCAGACTGTAGCCACCACAGATAACACCAGCATTAGAATGAATGCACGGCCGTAATCCCCCCAAATGTCAAACGCCAGCGCTCCCGCCAGCGCTCCCAACCCGCCGCTGATTTGATGGACCATCGATATAGTGCCGCTAATCCTGCCCAGCCTGGCCGATCCGAAAATGTTGCCGGAAAACACCACCGTCAGCGGCGCGGTCATCAGGAAGGTGAAACCGTAAAGGAGAGCGAAGGCCACTGCCACGGATTTAGCCTGAGACACCAATACCAATGCGAAAATCGCGATCCTCATGACAAAGCAGAGCAAAGTAGGTTTCACCGGCCCGACGGCGTCCGACAGGAACCCGGAAACCAACACCCCCAAAAGACCCATCAACCCCATCAGTGCGAGCAGGTTACCCGCTATCAGGGTGCTTATGTTCAAGTCCAGGGCACGCCACGGCGTGGGTCGCTACGAAATAGTCCTGGAATCCGCAGATCGCATAGATACCAGTCAGGAGCCACAGTTGTCGCGACATCAGCAGCGAACCCTGATACCCCAACGCCGGCGCAGCCGCCGTTACCGGATCGCGGGCCGCCCGAATCCCCGGTCACCCTTGGGATGGGCGGCGCAGACCTCACGGCGACCAACGCGAGGGGCGCGAGAATCGCCATGTTGGCCAACCCCAGCGCGGCGTAGGACACTCGCCACCCGAATTGCACCAGCGACTGGGCAAGCAAGCCGACAATCACCAACTGACCGATGGCGTTTCCCGATACAGCCGTGCTGTTGGCGACACCGCGGCGTTCCGGAAACCATCGCACAATCATGACGCTTACAATGGGGTTCGAGATTGCGGAGTTGCCTAACGCGAAGACCAACCCGTACACCACGAATAGATGCCACGGGGCGGTTATCACGCTCATTAATCCGATGCCCACCGCACCGATCACTACTCCGGTCCCCATGATCCACCGGAGCTGGAAACGGTCTGCCAGCCTGCCGACAAATGGCATGGCCAGGGCCGATACCAACATGTACACAGTGATGCTGAGGGACAGGGTAGTGCGGCTCCAGGTAAGGTCGTCCCCCATAGGTTTCAGCATCAACGCCAATGCGGAACGCGACCCACCGTTGAAAAAGAGTACTCCGAACCCGGTAGCTAAGATCACCCAACGGTAGTCGATTCGGCGCATCGAGTCCTATGGCTCCTGGCACGACCCTCGGCGAGGTCCGTGCAAAAGGTTATCCTCGGTTCTTCCGGATTCAATCGGCGGATTAAGCGTTCGTCTTACGACCGAATAAACGGCGATCTGAACAGCGAGCTTCGTCGTCCCAATGCACGTCAATGTCAACCACTAGCATAACCGGGGGGTTCTCCGTAGCTGCCGTCCAATCAAAGCGGCAACTGTTCTATGAAATCCAGGGTCCTTGCAGCCAGGATTTCGGGAATCTCAACCTTCATGTTGTGCCCCACTCCGTGAAAGACTTCCAACGTAGCGCCAGGCATCCGCCGAGCCATCAATTGCTGCACGTCTAAAAGGCGTAATCTCGTCCTGCGATGCGGCCAGTATCAGCGTGGGTACATCGATCTCAGTCAGCAGCGGCGTCAGGTCCTCCGCTAGCAGGCATCCTTGCAGGGCCAGCACCACCGGCGCCGGAGTCTTCGCACCTTCGTCGGCATACCACTCGATCACCTCACGCCCGGCCTGCGGCCCGAACCGCTTGGCGGTGTCCGACAACAGCCAGGCTCGCGTGCCCTCCCCTTCAAGAATCCTACGCCACGCTCCGGCGTCCATATCGGCGCCCATCTGGGACAGCCGGGGAGTAGAGGCAACCAACGTCAGGCTGTGCAAACGCTCCGGGAAATCGTGGGCGAAACGCAGGCTCACGATCCCGCCTGCGGAAGCGCCCACCAGGTGCGCTTTGTCGATGCCCAGTCCATCCAGAACCCTTGCGATGTCGGCGGCCAACTCCGGCAGAATGAACCTCAAACCCGCTGGGGGCGACGTGCCGGCGTGTCCTCTCATATCGAAGCGAACCACCGGATGGCGCCGGGCCAGGGTCGGTACCCAGGCGCGCCAGCGGTGCAGATTGCCCCCGGCGGCGTGGTGCAACAACACCGGCGCCGGCTCCAGCCAGGGATCGGAAAAGTCATCCACGTGGTAATGAAACTGCGAACCACTAACGTCCAGTATCGGCATACACCCACCACCCTATATCTTTCGACAAATTTCGGCCCATCTCACACGGTCCTGACACAGCGCCCATTGGAACTGCAGCCACAAAATATCACGAATTGGCCGGCTCTTTGTGTCTTGAACGGGCCTTCGGTCGCTGGTCGAAGCGTGGGGACACGATCTTCCCTGAGTTGGTGTGGAGGGCATTGGGTCGCGATCGCACCGGACGAGAGAACGTACGCTGCAAATACCTGAGGTGGCCCGTGTGAGGACATAGACACGTCCGGGTATACACGCCGACGCGGGCGGTTGGCGCCCCGGCCGAAATCCCAGAACACCCGCGGCGCATACGCCGCGCGCCTATCCGAGGATTGTGGCGATAGCCTGGTCAGCGGCGTCGATTCAAACCATTGCCCCGCACGAAACGGTGTTGAAATGGTTAGGTGGTGGGGAAGGTGAGACTCGAACTCACACGCCCGAAGGCACATGATCCTAAGTCATGCTCGTCTACCAATTCCGACACTCCCCCGGAAGCCACGCGTACCGCCAATCGTTTGGGTTGGTGACCCGCCTCGGGGTCGAACCGAGAACCTGCTGATTAAGAGTCAGCTGCTCTGCCAGTTGAGCTAGCGGGCCATCCCGTCAACCGCGCAAATACGCATAGTAAGGCTACCAATGACTCATATTGGTGTCAAGAATTACGCCCGCCGACACAACCGCGAATCACCGGATTAACCGCCCGGCGAATCGCCTTCCCGCCGGCGCCAGGTTGCAAGCCTCTCCGGCTACCGCCCGTCCGACAACCGCGCAGCCAGCGATTCCGGCAGTCCCGCCTCCCGTATCCTGGCCTGTGCCTTCGCGACGTCATACTCCACGCGCCTGTACTCCAGCATTCCCAGCGGGCTCACCGCGTCATCGTAGAGCAGGTACGACGCTCGCCAGTCGCCGTCCCGTGGTTGCCCCACACTGCCCGGATTCAAGATCAACCGCTGATCCGGTTCGAATGCTGGCAGGTTGTCCGGGTCCAGCAACGCACCAACGGGCCGGTCTCCGGTTTCCGTCCACACCAGGGGATAGTGCGAGTGCCCCACCAGGCAAAACTGTGTTTCCAGCAGGGCAAATGTGGCCATCGCCGCGTCGGGATTCAGCAGATATTCCATCACCGGGTCGCGCAGACTACCGTGCACCAACGTGAACGTCCCCTCCTGCACTACCTCCGGCAGACCCGACAGATATTCCAACTCTTCAGATGACAATTTGTCGGTGGTCCACAATGCGGCCTCCCGCGCCGCGCCGTTGAAGAGGTCGGGATTCAGTTTGCCCACGACCGCGTGGTCGTGATTACCCGCGATGGCCACGCCGGGCAGCTCGCGCAGCAGCGAGATGCACGCCGACGGGTCGGCGTTGTAACCCACCAGATCCCCCAGGAACCACACGACGTCAAAACCGCCCTGCCGTTCCGCGTCGGCCAATACCGCTTCGAACGCCTCCAGGTTGGAGTGGATGTCGGATACTATCAGGGCGCGCATCAAAGGCATCCTAGCATACCGGCGTTGCTATAATGTGGCGTCGTTCCACGTCGACAAACGACGTAAGCCTCGGAACGCACCGGAGGCTCACCCGTGACCATCAGCAGTAACGCTCCCACCGTCCACATCATCGCCACCGGCGGGAGCATCGCCGGTGTGGGTCCCGACCGCATGGACTACACCCGCTATCCGGAAATCGGCGACCATCTGACCATCGAACAAAACCTGGCCCGTGTTCCCGAGATCGGCGATAACTTCAACGTCATCGCCGAGGACATGGTCAGCGTGGGCAGCACCGCCATCGGCCCGGCCAACTGGATCGCCCTGGCCGAGCGGATTCATGCCATCGTACGCGACGAACCCGATACCGCCGGCATCGTAATCACCCACGGTACCGCCACCCTGGAAGAAACCGCCTACTTCCTGCACCTGACCGTCAAAACCGACCGACCCGTTGTGATAACCGGCGCCATGCGACCACCCACTTCCATCAGCACCGACGCCGACCTGAACCTGCTGGACGCCGTGCGTATCGCCGCCACAGCCGAATCAACCGGCATGGGTGTGCTGACGGTGTTGAACAACGAGATACACTGCGCACGTGAGGTGTACAAGACCAACACCCTGAGAGTGGAGACGTTCAAGCCCAATGAGCTGGGTTTCCTGGGCTATGCCGATTCCGACCACCGCGTTGTTTTCTACCGGCGACCCGTCCGCAGGCACACCACCGATACCCCGTTCGCGGTGGATGGGCGTGCCGACCTGCCTCGGGTGGACATTGTGTACGCCTACGCCGGCGCCGACGGGATGCTGATCGACGCCGTAAGAGCCCACGGTTCGGCAGGCCTGGTGCTGGCCGGATTCGGCGCCGGCACGTTCCCGCCGGCAGTCATCGACGCCGCCGAGAGAGCCGTGTCCGACGGGATGCCGGTGGTGCTGGCCAGCCGTTCCAGCGCCGGCCGCGTGGTGATGACGCCGCGCAAAGAGGAACAGGGGTTCATTGTCTCCGACAACCTGATGCCGCAGAAAGCCCGCCTCCTGCTCATGCTGGGCCTGACTGTGACCACCGACCGCGCCGAGCTGCAGCAGATGTTCTACGAATTCTAGCCTTCCGCCATCGCTAACGCTTCCCGTCCGCCGTTGCAACGTCGTGTATAATGCGGCCCATCGGTAAACGCGGCGTTCCGCTAACTGTGGATGGCCACACTTCCACCACGGCGATTTTGAGGAGAGCACCCGATGGCACAGGCGGCAGGGGTCAGTCCTACTGATACCGGCGCACAGGAATCTCAACCACGCACCAAAGGCTCCGTGATGGCAACCACGGTCATCGGAGCCCACGCCTTCGAGCACCTGTATGCCCACAGCATCCCCGTGCTGATCCTGGCGATTTCAACCGAACTGGGACTGGGAGCGCTGCAAGTGGGTGTGGTCGTCGCCGTGCGATCCATCTTCGGGGGGCTTACCAGCACCTCCGGCGGGTTCCTGGTTGACATTTTCCACCACCGGGTGGCTTGGGTCCTGTCCATCAGCACCTTCATGATCGGTTTGGGATACCTGCTGATGTCCATCGCCCCGTCCTACGCATTGATCCTGTGCGCGTTGGCGTTGGGTTCGATGGGAAGCGCCCTGTGGCATCCGCCCGCGTTGGGGCTGCTGGCCCGCCGGTTCCCCGATCGTCGCGGCCTGTTCATCTCCATGCACCGTTCCACCGGAAGCATCGGCGACGTGATCGGCCCGCTGGCGGCCGGAGCGCTGGTGCTCGGCGCCATCACCTGGAGCGGCGGGGCTGCCGAGGGCTCGGTAGAAGTATCCTGGGCACTGCCGTGGGGCAAGATCGACTGGCGTTATATCCTGGGATTCAGTACGCCGGTGATGTTTATTGCCACCGTCGCAATTTACTTCCTGCTCCGCAATGCCGGCAGTGAGCGTCCCACCGAGGTGGATGTTGGCCAGCGCATCCGGACCAACTGGGCCGGCATGAAGGCCGCTTTCCGTGGCACTGGAATGTGGGCCATTTTCACCGTTTCGGCAGTGCGCGGCATGGCCGACCGGTCGCTGGTGTTCCTGGTGCCCCTGTATTTGATGCAGGAATTGGGACTCAAGGAGTTTCAGGCCGCCGTCCACGTGATGCTGATGGTGTTGCCGGGTATCCTCTTCGGCCCCTTGATTGGAGCGCTGTCGGATCGCATTGGCCGCCGTCCCCTGATCATTTTCATCATGGCCGTTACGACGGTCCTGACTGTGGCCATTATCCTGAGCGGCAGCAACGGATATAGCTACTGGATCACCATCTTCGTAGCGATCTACGGACGCTCAACTTCTCCGTCAACAATCTCACTCAGGCCGCCGCCGCCGACATCGCCGCCGGCCGTCGGCTGGAATCCAGCTTCCTGGGCCTGATGTGGGGCAACAACACCCTGTTCGGCGCTATCGCTGCCATCATGATTTTCGGCCCGGTGGAATGGTTCGACTGGCAATACGGTTTCTTCATCGCCGCCGGAATCTACTTCGCGGGCTTCCTGGTCTCGCTGTTGATCCCCGGCAAGCCGCCCGCCCCCGAGGCGGTGGCGGTACCCGCATAGCGGCCAGAGATTCCAGGCTCAGCCATGGTACAGGCAACGGCTCCAGCGGCGCCGGAAACAGCAACCCGCCGCACCAAAAACGGTGTGATGGCCACCACCATCATCACTGCCCACGGTTTCGAGCATCTATTTTCCAACACCATCCCGCTGCTCACCACGCAAATCGCCCTTGACCTGGAATTGACCAGCCTGCAGGTGGGGGCCATCGTCGCCGTGCGTTCGGCCTTCGCCGGCATCACCAGCGTATCCGGTGGATTCCTTTCCGATCTGTTCCATCATCGAGTGGCCTGGGTGCTGTCCGCCAGCGCCTTCCTCAGCGGAGTAGGGTTGCTGTTGATGGCCTGGTCGCCTTCATACGCGCTGATTCTGATGGCGCTGGCGCTGGCATCATCGGGCGCCGCGCTGTGGCATCCGCCCGCGCTGGGATTGTTAGCCCAGCGGTTTCCCACCCGACGGGGATTGTTCATCTCAATGCACCGCGCCACCGGCGGAGTCGGGGATGTCCTGGGCCCAATGGCCGCCGGCATATTACTGCTGGGAGCCCTGCAGTGGGAGGCCACCGACGGAATCGTCATCGGCCGGGAACTCGCTTGGGAACCCATCGGCTGGCGCTGGATACTGGGGTGCAGCGCACCCGTCATGCTGTTTGCCGCCTTTATCATCTATGGACTGCTGCGCCACGTCGGCAACGCCCCGCCCATCAACCTGGACCTGGCGCAACGAATCCGGGCGCAGGTGCAGGGCACCAGGGTAGCGTTCCGGGGCACTGGAATGTGGGCCATATTCGCGGTGTCGGCGGTGCGGGGCATGGCCGACGGTTCGCTGCTGTTCCTGGTACCCCTGTACATGACCCAGGCTCTGGGGAGTCAACTCATTCGTGGCGGCGGTACACCTGGCGCTGGTGGTGGGACCGGCCATCGTAACCGGCCCACTCATCGGAGCGCTGTCGGATCGGGTGGGTCGCAAGCCCCTGATCGTGTTCCTGATGGCCTTTACCACTGCGCTGACGCTGGCCATTCCCCTGACCGGTCAGGGTTATTCCATCTGGCTGACCGTATGTATCGCGCTGTACGGCCTGCAGCATTTCACCGTCATCAACCTCACGTCCGCAGCCGCCGCCGACGTTGCCGCGCAGTATGGGCTGGAGTCCAGCTTCCTGGGGCTGATGTGGGGCAACAACGTGCTCTTTGGAGCCGTGGCCGCCCTGGTGATCTTCGGCCCGCTGGAATGGCTGGGTTGGCAATATGGATTCTTCATCTCAGCGGCCATTTACTTTGTGGGCTTGCTGGCCTCGCTGATGATTCCCGGCAACCCACGCGCGCCGGAAGCTGTGGCCGTACCGGCCTGATCGAAAGGCCGATTTGGTCCCATGGTCTACCTGATCCAATGACTGAAGCGCCGTGACCGCTGCGCGCGCATGCGGACTGCTGTTCTTAGTTTCCGGAATATTCTCAGTTTATCCAAGCGTCGCGCGCCTGCTTATCATACGTGGCGGGTTCTATCCGTGGTTGCTGAGCGCCAATTTGCCCCTGATTTTCGTGGTTGCGGCCGTGGCCCTTATCGCCGGAGCGATCCTGCTGCGCCGGATATTGGCTGCCAGATTCTCCACATCAACCGAGTCCAACCTCGTCCCAGCGTTATTGATCGCCGGCGCCGTAATATCGTTGCTGGCGGTGGGCTCCCAATGGGCGATCAACCAGGTGGTGCAGGATCGGCAGATCTCTGGCCTGGCTCTGCGTTTCCTGGAGTCCCCAATTATCCTTTACGTAATGGCGTTGCCCATGTTGAAGCACGCCTGCTATGGCTTGGCTATTGCCGCCCTGATCCCGTTACAGCGGCGACTCGGCGGCGGCCTCAAAACGACCGCCATGGTCAGCGTTGCTCTGGTTGTCATGGTCCACATGTCTGTTGCCAATGGATTGTTCCTTTTCTTACATCAGCCGTGGCCCTTGCGGGAGGCCACCCTTCTGGTATTGTTCCCGCTGATTGGATCGGCTGTTCCCATCTGGTTGATTCTGACCGGTGTGGTATTGATTGCCTGGAGTCCCTGGGCGACGCAGATGACGCTGCCGACGCCAGTCGATTTCCAACCGAAACCTCTCAGTCGGAAACCTCACCGTTCCAAAAGATCGGCGGAATCTCCATGTTCCTCGTCGTCATCACGGTCGTTCTGTCGGTAATCGTCCGCAGCGTCTCGCCCGATCCAGCCGAAAACCTGGCGGTGAGCCGGGCGCTACATGGCGTTGGTGGAGTCATGTGGGCTGGCGCCGGCGCATCCTTGATGGTGGCCGCATATTGCTTGTGGCGCGAAATCTCGGCCTACCGTCCCATACCGTCGGGCATCGATTGTACCCTGTTGGCCGCCGCTGGCCTGAGCCTGCTTTGCATCGGAATTGTTCAACTGCGTACCGCGTACCATTCGTATGACTCGAAAAAGAATCTGATAATTTCGACGGGAGCCGTTACCGCCGCAGTCAGCCTGGCGGTGTTGCTGATTTCGACGCTGGCCTTCGAGTCGTGGGGCACGGTTGCTGGTATCATCCTTTTGGTGTGGTTCACTGTATTCGGTTTCGCGTTGTCGAAGGGATGGGTCCACACCGCCCCGGGAACCGAACCGCAACACCTCGAGACTACCGGCTCCAGAACCGCTAACCGATTTGAACCCGGATTGATATGATGACCGCTGCGCGCACCGCTGGCCTGTTTCTGCTTCTTACCGCGTTGGCTACCGCTATATCCGTGCCGGCCCGGCTCCTGGCCGATGCCGATCAACCCACGCTGTCGGAGTCCCTTTGGGCCATCGCGCTTAACAACACACCGTACCTCATCGGCGGCGTGGCGCGGTTGGTATCCGGACTGGCGTTGCTGGGCGCGGCGTGGTTGCTGTGGCGATCTCTCCGCCCCCACCATCCCACCGCAATTTGCATTGCCGCCACCGTGCTCGCTGCATCCGGTTTAGTCACGGCAATCTCCGGACTCTGCGCCGTGGTACTGGCAACATCGGTGCCCGAAGTGGGTCCGATGGCAGTTCTAATTCGAGACGGCTGGGAAGAATCGCTGCGACTCTGGGCCGACGCCCGCTGGATAACGGGCACGGTGGGATTCACCCTGGCCGGCGTGGGACTGATTGCCCTGGGCCCGGCGCAGTGGCGCATCGGCGGGATCCTCAAAGTATCAGCCGCTGCCGGCGTGGTAATCGGCGTAGCCATGCTGTTCATCTGGGTGGACGCCGCCACCCTGGTGCACCGGATCTCTGGCATCGCCTTCCTGCTCTGGCTCATCATCAGCGGCATCTGGCTGGTCGCCGGCGGGCTGAAATCACCACGACAATCCCCTCTCCCTTGATGGGAGCAGGATTTTGGGGCTTACAATCAGGTCCCCTCTCCCTCTGGGAGAGGCTTAGGGTGAGGGCCGAACCCAATGGTAGCGGGTGTCAAAGTGAGGGCCGACTCTCCGACCGCTCGGGACAGCCGACTATAATCCTTAACACTACCGTATCGAACTACCATCATCGGTGAGGAC